AGCCTTCCTAGTGTCCCATGTCTTTGCTGGCAATGTCCTTCTGACCATATCCTAGCCGCCTCGCGGTGGAGGCTCGAGTGACAGCTCTAATGGCAACATGGACGGACGAGTGGGTCCTCTAACAGATCGGTGTACGCATATATGCTACATGTAAATAAATTCTGCTTCCCTGCAGCTGTACGCCGTATTTCTTAGTGTCCGGAGGTTGTTACATGATCAGGAAAAGTTAAACTGCGTTTGATCACATTATCAGTTCTTATTTAAAGAATGTAGCTTCCGTGTGATACGCTTAGACTGAACCCTCAGTTCGAAAAAATAACCGGAACGTGATCAGAACATTTTCATCCTAATGCGGCATGGCGTTGAAATAACTGAATATATTAGTAGTTAGTATACCCTACGGAATTCTGGAAGTAAAAGCAGTTTTTGTTTTCGAATGCGCTTACTGTCAAAAGTTCTTCAATTCGTAGTTTTTTTACCTGAGCGAACTTTGCGGAACCTAAATGCTTTTTAAATCAAACATCAAGAGCTAGTCTCCTCTATCCTCCAGTATAAGAAGACACCGTAAATCTGGTTGACATCTTTACTAGGCCTCCAAACTCAAGTCTGAGCTGTTTACTGCAAGGCAACTGCAACCATAGTTAGTCATTGGCTGCGATGCTTTCCGCCCACGAGAATTAATCAAAGTCGCGGACCAATTAAAGTTGAAACAACACACTCCCTGTATGGACTCAATTTCTCGAAGGGACATCACGCAAAGACACCTATTTATTTAATTTCGTGGAAAATAACGTCATCTTGACAGTTAGTATTCAAGCAATGTGAATACTCTGAAATTCAACAATTATCTAACGTGGGTATTTTCTGAACTCAAATGAGTAATCGCATTGCGAGATATCGCCAGGCCTATTATCGCCGTCAACACAATATGCGGCAACGTGATAAAGACAGGTTTAACGAGGATGAGGAGTTTATAAAATAGTAAACAGTCTGTGGTTTTTTTTCATGGAAACACGTGGCATGCAGTATGGTCCAAACACAGCTACTCTTGAAAACATAAAACCTGTGTTTTCCTTCAAAGGTAAGCCCTACTGAGCAACAGACAATATCTTCTAATCCATAAGTATAGTATTTGAGTACCTTGTGCAAAATTTTAAGACATTACAATTGTTTTGGTGCCAACATTGGACAGTCCTTTCACAAATATGCACTAGAAACACATATCCTCTTACCGCGTTTGACATAGATGACTGTAACCACTATCTTCAGCATAGCGGTTAGCCAATGCATATGACTGAAGTTCCGTTCTCTTTGCTTATTTTCCTTTAGGTTAGAACACCAAACAGTCTTTCCTAAGTACGTACATCCACGTGAACGCATATTACAGATAATATAAGGCACTATACGTTTTAGAGTACGGAATAAGCTTGACGCTTCATCTATCTAGACTGACTTGGCGAACCTTTTGATTCCAAAATATGGCGCCAGAAATAAACAGTGTCTGTGAGCTGCGTTCGAATAAGGTCATCCCTCATGAAATGCCTGCGATCAATCTCACGCACTCAGTCAGAATACGCTGAGTACTAATGTGCTTGCGGTGTCCGCGCTTCAGTCTACTCTGGGTTGCACCAAGAGCTACTTTTACCCTCGTATACCGGAGCAGCTACGTTATGTAAGGAACCTGTAAAATAACAACTTAAGATTGTGAATACAATTTTGTAAGGACGTAATACCAATGACTATGATACGTATTCAGAGGTCGATTTCGGACCGAATATCCATTTGGTCGGAATGGCTTATATATCCATCCTCTAGACATGACATGAATATAAGAACATCTCCCCACAACGCAAAACGGATGGTCTTTCGATAACTTATAGGAAGGGCAAATATTCTTATGTCCTAACCTTGATAATAATTTAACCCCACACCTCAACTGCAATTTCAATATTAACCGCAACCGTAACTCATCCCTGACATCAGCCCTAAGCTTAACCCTTACCCCGGTGTTAACAATAACCATAACCTTAACTCAGTTTGTTCTGGCATTTTGTGTCAAGTCACGTAATGTTTCTATTCAAACAATTTAAGATTTAGTTTATTCCCACCTTCCACTTGAACTACAGGTAAGTTAATAGCTGCCGTTTTCTCGAGCCCGCTCAAACAGTTATATGACGTAGGGCCTCTATTAAGGACAACCCTTACACAGATTATAAACGATCTTCCTGAACTTCTATGCAACAATCTACATCACAGCTTCAGTTTGTATTAAAAGCTAGCCATACTGCTAGGTTCACTGATAAAAGTCCAAATAGGCCTACCATTATTAAAATGATCATCGAGTAAGAATTAATGTTTAACAGAGAAACTACAAATGGACAGTTTGTCATTGTTACTTAAGTAAATCAGCTAATTATACCCTGAGTGAGAGCATTCTCCTTTTTAGCTGTCTCTTAGAGAGGTAGCTGACCAAAGGTGATGTAAATTTTAATCAATGGAAAGAGGGTATCTCAAGTGGTGCGCAGTTGTTTAGGACAATGACAGTATCGTATCTGTTGTTAGAACCATTTTTGAACTGTCTGTCGGAAAGCGTGAGACCTGTGCATCACAGGCGTGTTTTCCGAACATGCTAATTAATCGTATTTCTGGACATAGCAACTACGTCGGAGAAACTGGAGGACTTCTCAAGACGCGAATTGCCAAACACGCGGCAGCAGTATGTAGAAATAACGCCAATTCTCAATTTGTGGCTCATTCGACGAGACCCGGTAAAATTTTAAAATTTCATGCGTTCGAAATTCGCGTGAGAGGTGACAATCATGTGAGTCGCGAGTTACGTGACTAATGGTTCACAGTCCGCCACTCTATAAACAATTGCACCGAGCTGCCCAATTTATATTCAGTGCTGAGGCTCAGTTAGGCCGAAGCAATTCGCCACTCGGGGAGCGCACAGATGAACGAGTCTTCTAACGGCAACGCCAAGGAGCCAGATGGCCGGGCGATCATCACGCCCAAGTTCACCACGTGTGATAAAAGTTCAGCAGGTCACGACCCGTATGTCGGCCATCGGGCAATTAGCGCACAAGCGGGAAATTACCTTCGATAGGGGGATTCAATATTTGTATGCAGTTGCATAGCGATTGTATTCCATAAATACTGAAACTCCCTGTGCACGAATTACCTATTTCTGCTATTGTCTCCGATGGTGGATCCGCGACGGATTTGGAAACATCACGCGAATATAATTTTTGTCCCAGCGATCACGTCTGCTTTTACTCAATTGCTTCCTGGGACTCGCATTTTTGCTTGCATTAGCAGTTGCATTTTCTCTAGTCTGACCAACAGGCCCAAACTATTCAGGCGCAGAGACTGGTCTGCTTACGCTGAAGACAAAACGGTTTCTCATAAACAAAGTCGCTACCCTTCCATGTCTGAGCACTTACGTAACTTTGATACGTCATATTGATACATCAGAGATGAGGCTTCTCACCATGCTTTGGATACAATGTATGCTTACGTCAACACCAACTCTCGCACGTGACTAAAGGGATTTGCAATCAAGATTTTACATTACAGAACGGTAGGAATTAGCTCGAGGGTTGTTTATGTGTGAGGGAGCGAGAGAACCTAAAATCTGTAGACATGACAAAGGGGTATTCCGGCGTAATCTACCCATATCTGCTGGTCTGCGCCCTCCGAACAGAGGCAGCGCGCTCGCCAAAACCGTCCCCAGGGTAACCCGATCAACTCAGGTGGGACTGAAGAAGCTGGTAAGTGCATATTCCAATCTGACATACCTGTTGCAATTACAGAATACATGTCTAATTACCCAGCTACTAAGTTGACATGCCTAGTTGATTCTGGAGCAGATGGCTCCCTTATTAGACAAGAGGCGTTCTGTAAACTTCAAGCTAGATTTAGATATTGTATGGAGTGTAACGTTAGCCTGAAAACGATTAATAGCACTGCCTTGTGATATAAAAGCATGGTAGAAACTGGGGCTACTATTTAATAACGTGT